CTGCGTAGCAACATTCTTACTCTCTTGTCTTTCTGATAATGTTTTAGTGGTAAGACAGGGTCGGGGCGGCTAAATATGGGCTTAGGTGTGACATAAAACTGCCTTAATTAACCTGCATTTAACGTCGATACGAGTTTCCAACGAAGCTTGGTAGGAGTAGGAAGTGTCAAGGTGGTATTGTGCAAGCCACGCCCAAACTGTTTCTTATCGTCTCGGCAGAACTGGACGAGTGAGCCCCGTAACCTATCGGTGGGCGCCTGCGCATTAGCGTAACTATCTCTCGATCTAAACGAGCAACACTAGGAACCCGTGGCTCAATGGTTAGATCTTTTGACTCCTAGCCTCGGGTGGCACAACACCTGGGGTTGTGTGTGGTTGGCTGATGACGGCTAATAAGCCAGAAGTGATCACTCCAGTCCCGCTGGCCTTTGTCGGTAATGTTCATCTGCCTATAATACTAGCCACTGTGTGGCTGCCAGTGGGACTCGAGAATGAGCCCCAGAGACAGAACGGGACGAGTGAGTACCGTAACCGATCGGTGGATGCCTTTACGTAAATCTGATTATCCTAGTTGGTTCGCTATCTGCTTTCATGAATCTGTTCGCAGCGACCCAGATGACTTGAAAAGCACAGTAAGCCACTGATGCATGCAACTTACTTCGGTGTGCTCTACTACTACTTATAGTTTCTAATCGGCTCTGTAGACGTCGCAGTTCCTTGTCTCGCAAACAGCACATCTGACTCTAGGGCGAACAGGCCTCTCGACTTCTTCGTTCATTTGGAACGTCGTGCTTTATCCAGTAACGAAGACAATTGGATTCCTAAGTGATTCTGTTTTTATTGTTAATTTGGCAGAAATCCCTAAGCCCCCAAAAAATTAGACGAATTCAGTAAGTGACTAGTGCGAAGAGATCAACCAAACCTTGATTTTACGCTGGGACATTTTTACTTTTGGCCCACACACGGGGATAGGAATCCTCCCAGCCCCGGTAATACAGTT